TTTCAGCACACCTGAATCTTACTGCAGTTTGGGAGCTGAAACTTTCTGTCACATTCAGGAACTTTGTATTTTTTAAATTTTTTTTCCCCCCATACTGGGTTCACAGTTAAAGTGCTAGAGTCATCTGTAACCCTGGCAATAGCTGTGTTTCTCTTCTGGCCAGGGTGAAAGTCTGGCTCCATCCAAGTCACATAAGCTCCACATTTTGTGGTCTGCTACAAAAAGTTGACTAACACTTTTTTCCTAATCTGCCCCTTACCTCTCCCACCATGTAAGGTGATAAGAGACTGTCAGCTTAATATCTAGAGGAGAGGGATTTATTTTGTGCATGGGTCAGGTAAAACATTATTTGCTTAGATGACAGCTACCCCAAGTAGACATACTGCAGTTGGCTGTGCTTTGCCTGGAATAAAACCAGTTGGATCCATAGCTGTGACAGTAAATGAGGATTAAAACGACATCCTGTGGTTTCTGCATCTGCTCTGAAAAGAGATACAGGAACATATATTCCAAATGTATAATCAAGGAATGGGAAAGATTAACAAGCAATATCTGTCCTCTGTAATCAGCTTTGAAAACAACAGCAACAATTTTTACTTGCTTGATTATTTGATGGGGTCTAGTAAATATTTGAACCAAATAGCAAAATGCATCTGTAAACAACTATAAATTCAGTACTGCAGATAATCTCAAGAAGCAGGAGTGACTAAACACTTCCTCTTGTATCTCCTCTACTTTGATTCACCCACTTTCCACCTGTGTGCCACCTTTCTGCTGTCTGTGTCCTGACATAAATAATATCTTGCTGATGAGGCAAAATTAGGATTTTGTGCAGCTTTGTCTGGTTGATCTGAGTGGGGCTATGCTGGCATTATCAGCTTTGTCAGATGGTGGGCCACCATCAGACAGGTGTCTGCCCTGGTCCAGACACCTGTCTCCTGAGCACCAGTTCTTCCTTAAAAATCCAATTATACTGGGTAAGCAGATTCTCGTTTTATTTACTGTCTCCATAACCATTACCAAGTTTTTGAGCCTCAGAGCTCTGATACTGCAATTGCCACATGGTTGTGTTTGCAGAAAGAGGCAAAGTCTCCATGCTCACTTAGCAAGAGGAACACTTTCAATTTTCATGACCATACTTAGGCCAATATAATCACATCAAAGTTATATGTTAGTTCATCAAAGGTGAGTCTGCAAGGAAAACATTTATTTTCCCTGGATTTACTGGCCTCATCCATTCTGGATTTGTAGTGGCTTTCAGCAGTTTTCCAACAGTCCTCAGAAATCCCATTCAAAGTCTTGCGTGCACAACACAGAATTGCATACACGAGGACAATTTAATATATCTTTTTGACTTTATGCAATCTCAATAACAGTCTCATTTTTTGTTTTTGTATATTAATATGCTAAAAAATTATTCTTTACTGTTTGAAAGAATATCAATGACCAAATATAGAGAGAGATGTGCATATCCAAACTTGTACTTTCGTGTTCTTTGGGGTTAGCTCATTGTCCATGCTCCAGAAGTGACACAAAAATACAGGATTATTGTGGGAATTGGAACAGCATTACCACCAGAACAAAGTGGTTGGAAAAAAGATTACTGTGACAAACATGATATTTAATGGCTTTAACTTGGATTCCAAAATCACTATCTGTCATTCACCAGGAATAAGAAGGGAGGGAAATTGGTATTCAGCAAAAAAGCACTGTGCTGGTCTTTAATACTCTGTACTTGAAGACTGACCCTGGGCCAATTTTTGGAGTCTTGGTCTCACAATTTTTCAAAGTCACTAGATTTTGCATAAACTGTAAACCAGAGTTTTCTCATAATTTGCTTATGCAATGGCTGACACGAAACACAGCATAAATCCAATGTGGAATCTTTGAAAGAAGCACATAGACCTTACATCACGCCCAGTCAAAAAAAATTATTATAGAAGAAAAATGGTCATGGTTTTGGTTTTGTTATGAAACCCTTTGAACTGTTTGGGTAATTTTTGTCCATACCGAATAATTTCAGGGCTAGTTTCTTCCTGCGGACAGTAATTTTTCTTACTGTGTTAAAACACTGACACAGTACCAGATGTATTTAAAGCATGCTCCATTATTAGTACACAAACTGAAACTGAAGTCCTTTACTAAAACCACAACTAAGTATCTGACATTAAATATTTGAATCTCCCTTCTGTTGTGTATTGTCATTGACAAAAAATACAACAAATGCACTGGACATAGACTGCAGAAGCTGAAATTACCTCCCTCTTAAACAACATTTATGATCTTGCCATAGTATATGGGATTTCTGTGTGGCTATATATATTTTGAGTAAGGTCAATATAAAAATCTTTATTTAAACAGGAATTTATATTCTGATTCAAAACAAAAAATTAAATCTGATGCCTTCACAAATATGCCTACATTTAAATAAACATGTATACTTCACAAAAAGAAAAAACAACCAGCAGAGCAACATGCAAATTATTACTAAAAAAACAGACAACAAATAAACTCCCTTTGGTTTGCAACCTGATTTTGAAATCATTTACAAAACCATGGTTAAAGTCCTACTAGACAAGCTATAGAGCTCTGCACTATTAAATACACTTATTATAAACTGGGTTAGTCTGTCCTTCAGGGCAATGCCACAATAGTTAAGGCAGTGCCAAAAAATCACACGCTTGCAGAATATTTACTTGGAAATAAGGAGCGTATTGAAAGCCAATGTCAGTGGCTTCAAGATCCTGTCTCACCAACCCAGGGATTCCAGGTAGTGGGAGTCACAATGTGAGCAGTGTTATGCAGGGGATGGGAAAGGCTTAAACTCATATGGCTGCATGATTCAAAAAGTGTTTAATGTTTGCTCTTTTTTTTTTCTTTTTTTTTTTTTTTTTTAAGAGTTTAACTTTTTTGTGTGATCAGGCAATCGGATGCATTACAGGAACAGCTCATTTCCTTTAAATGGAATGGCATGGCACAGCAGTTCCCAAGCTGTAATATGTTGATTAGGGTTGTGTGTAAACTGCAATCAGGTGATAGCTGAACTGGTTTGAAAGTATAAAATCAGAGGAGGAATACATTTAAAATGCATGATTAAGAAAGCTGGTATAACCAGGTGCCTAAGCCTCAAGTGCAGTGTGCGCTTGGAATGATCCAAGAGCTACTGATAAATGTCAGAGTGGAGAAAAGGAGCTGAGTTGGTGCTTCTCTCCTTGCTTGTACAGTGCTGAGCACTGCACATTATAAATAATAGATCTTTCTACAGAGAGTTAACTTATTCCTTAATCACCATGAGGGTTGTGGTTGATGTGTTTGAATCCCAGTTCAAGCATTTGCAGCTGCTCTGACATGTATTCCTTTATGCCCTTGGAAGCCAGCCACTCCTTCCCAAAAAGCAGTCCTTATTTTTTCTCTTTCCATGCTTTTCCAGTGCTTGGCCTCTGAGGGAAAAATTTCAGTGTAGTTTAACAAAAATCATTACATTTGTCTTGAAATATTCCTTCTGTCTTAGAAAACAGTCTTTGTAACAACAGCATTTGAGCACTTGGTAAATCTGCTGGTATTTAGAAAGTTTACGTCTGTGTGTGAGAGCAGATATGCGTGCATGTGTTATGTCAGGATAGCAAACTGTGACCTGGAAAAACAAAGGGTCACTTAAAGCTTGTCTTCTTGTTATCAGCAGCTGTTTTATTTTGTTTTAAGCTGAGCAATACAAAACTCTTAAGAACATGAGCTTGAAAGCAATTACTCCATTACTCTATATCAGCTTTTCTTCCTAAAAAAGTGTTACCACCTTCTCCATGAGACATGTCTGTGCTAGTGTGCAGCTGGCTGGCTGACATTTGTGCTTATCTATGCTGTTATCATGTTTGATTGTTGGATTAAACTTTGTAAAATTGTGGGAAAGAATATTTTTGTATGCCATTTATATAGGTCAGAAATTACTTTATGTACTGGATGTAAGAAAGAGAAAACAATATGAAAATCATTTTGGCAAATACTGTATGAATGCCTAAGTTCTTGCACAATCATTCAGTAACTTAAAGATCATACAAAATAATAGCACGTCATGAAAGTAGTCACATGCTTTATCTCTGAATTAAGTTCCACTGTGGATACAGCTCTTACTTCGGTACCACTTAACTTCGGTGAAAGAATTTTTAAAAAAGTCCATGTAAATAGAGACAGAACTTGTTTTAAGTTCTTTCATTTTGGGCACAGGCATGTTGGTGTCTGCAAATATATTGGCATATATTTGTTGCATGCAGTATCACTCACTCACCCCAAGTCACACTGTGAAACACTTCCACAAAGCTCAGACAGGAAATAAGCAACTCACATTTCCAAAGAAATGCTCTGACATTCATGAAGCAAGAGCTGGTATTGTTTTGCATGTGAATGTACGCATACACATTTTATCTCAGACCATCAAGCCAGAGCTCTGACAACACGGAGGGTAAGAGGAAAGTACAGACGTATTGTCACTGAGAATACAGCTGAGGAAAGACTTAGATTAAAGCTGGTTTGGCTGGGAGAATACCTAAAGACACACTTCTGAAGATCTCATTAACATGACCCAGTTGAGTTGCAATGCATGTAAGGAGTTTGACATTTAGATGTGCAGGCAAGCATGTACAACTTTACTATGATACAAAACTAGCAGTTCAATCCACAATGCTGAGGCTTGCTAACACCTACAATTTCCTTTAGGCCATTGATAGCAACTGTCTGTTGTAAGCAGAGTGAAAATAATGTCTTCCTAAAGCTTCAGTGAATACAGTATTGTTGTCCGCTTCCTACTATGAGCAACTGCATTATGTGAATGAGGTATAAATTCTTAATTTACTTTGTGCAGTGTATGCAGTTATACAGGTTTTCCTGTGTTTCATCATAGAGTTCGTTTCTCTATATCCTACCTGGAGCTGAAGTTGTTACTTGTTGCCCTAATAAAGTGCTTTCAGCTTGTTTGGAAGCAGGAATAAGACATAATTTTGCTGGAATAAGAAGTAATTTTATTAATGATGTGTCCTCTCAGCAGAAGTATATGGCAATCATTCAAACTTGTAAACACCAGTTTTTTACTTGATCAGTCAGCGCTCATGTAATTTCTGGACATCAGTTTCTGAATAAATAACATTCTCCTGTTACATGGATGCACTTGTACGCTTATAGTCAGGGACTTAGGCTGATCATGTTCCTATCAGTGGGACAAGTGGCTGTATTTGGTTTCTCTGATGATTCACAATCTCTCAGACTGGAAGCACAGAAGGCATGATGGACTGGCTGATTTGTTCTGGAGATCTGGTCATTCATGTTAGGGCAGCTGCATGTACAGCAGTTTTCAAATGTCCTTTCTCTGTGCATTATACAAGATTAGTTTTTACATTCTGGAGTTTCTTCCCAAGAAGATGTGTTCTCTCTCGACCTGTATCAGTGGAAAGGATGAGTTCTCCAGCAAAACTACGTCCATATGATCCTACGGTGTAGGTGCCTCACAGCACAGTGATGTGCACCCAGATTTTACAGCCATGAGAAGATGAACTCAGTTCCCTCAGGACATACATGGTGTAGACACTACTTTCTGTATTTCAACACTTTCTCAGTATTTCCTCATCGCCAGAAGTTCCACCTAGAACTGAAGTCAGAATCAAGTGGGAGGATGAAGTTATGTGTGATACTGTAGATGAAAATGCATCTGGGGAGGAAAGTAAATACTTCTACATCCCCCCTCCCATATTTCCATAGTGCTCCCTTTCCTTTGCAGCCTGTGCTCAGCACCCTGCTGAGTAGCACTTGTAACTAAATAAGTCTTGAAGATTTGAGGGCTCTCCTCTCCCCAGCAAATATCTGATCTTTGGGTTGCCTAAGATGCCATGAAGGCAACATGCTAGTAAGCAACTCCCTCCTCCATCTGGCTCCAGCTCCTCTTTGCCTGTTCAGATATCCCCCATGGCTCAGAAACAATAACTGGTTTTACAATAAACCTTCACTCTTTGTAATGCAAATGGTTCCAAAGGCTACTTTGTTCCCATAAAACAATTTGAACAAGCTTTTGAGCCTTTCAGGGTATTCTTACCCTTCTAGCTGTAGGAAGCTCTGTTTTCACAATTGCCTTGTCTTATGCCATTAATGAAGGACAAATGGTCAAGGCAGGGCTGGGAGGGGGAAGCTGCTCCCTTGTTTGAAAGCTTGTCTTCTCCGTGGCTGCAGCAGCTGAACATGTAATGACAGCGGCAAAGGGGTGACTTAGAGCAAGCTTGGCCTGGATTTTCATTGTTTTGAGCAGTGCAGTCCAGGCTTACTTTGGAGATGCCAGGATGTTTTAAGGTTTAAGCAAAAGCACTGTCTGATCTTTACTTTTCCTAGACTCAGAGCAAGTGATCTTACTATTAATGCCCTGATGATTCTTTAGTGTGTAAACTCTACTCACAGTAACAATGGGAACAGCTGTTAAAAATGGGTCTCAAATTTGGCATCCAGAGACTCCAGCCTTTTCTGAAATTTGCCACCAAAAGTCTAAAATATTTTTCTTCAAACAGGAAAAATAACTCAGAATGTACCACAGGTACCGTCTGGTGATTATCCATTAAGTATGGAATATAGTTTAAACAGTGATGATGAAAGAATGAAACAGTAACACATCAGGTTTTCTCTCCCCTTTTGTTCAACTAAGTACAGTTAATAATAAAACTAAGAAGCTGTTAAGGACTAGATATGAAAAAATTCAATACTAAAAATATTTTTAGTAATAGATTACGATTATATACTCTTGCAAATCAAAATCACTTACACGTGATTCTCAACTTTCACTGACATGTATTAAACCTATGTGTAGTTTAGAAAGAGCTGTCTTAAGCTTTTTAGGATGTCAGTTGATATCTTCAGCTTTTTTGTGCTCCTAAAGAAAGAAACCATGTACATTTAGTAATCAAAAGAGGACAGAAAAATTACGACCTTTACTTCCAAGCACGGAAATGTGTGTATATATGTAAAATACAGAAGAATACAGAAGAGATGATCTCATGGAAAAAGTCTGTTAGCACCTTGACATAGCTTTTTACCTTGTTTGCTGAATCTGGCCAGTTCTATTGCTCCTCCTAAAAATAACAGAAACCAGAATGTACAGTGATTGAACTATGTGCTGCTCCATGTATTACCACATAACATGATCTGCTTCTGAACTCTGAAACATCTACTCCTTGAGCTACTACTTGGAACCCAGATTTATTAGGAGTTTAAATACCTATTATAGGCTGTAGGCACCTTCTCTTTTCCCTTCCTTGAACACAGGGTATGCACAGGCCTAAATGTATAGAGGGTTCCCCATATGGAAAACGGTTGATCTTTTTTTTTAATTGAGCTGATGTGTTGAATTTCTGTGCTGAAGTATCCATGCCCTTTTACCAGGCTTCCCATGAACACAGTCAATAGCTTGCTCTTCCATGCCATATGCTTTCCTCATTTGCCCATAGAAAGGGAAACCCTACAGTGGTCAATGCACTACAAATGCCGAAATAAATTAGGCAAATATAAAATAGAGCATACATTAAGGAAGCCTCGGGCAGCACTACAATATGTTAATAGAATAACTGCACAGTACAGTGACCGTGAAAAACAAGATTAATGAGGTTAGGCAGCACAGACATACTAAGAAGGTGCAGTAAAATCCAGAAGCCAGCATTTTTACTAGAAGTTAATTACTTCTTATACAATGCTCCTGCAGAAGAAATTTGTTTGAGCTATAGGACCCTCACCGCTGTCCTAAGAAGGAGGTGGGACATTTGCAGAAGGAGAAGGTTCCTCCCACTTCACACTTTGAGATATTCTGTGACTCAACAGTTTCTGGGAGAAGATGATGAACAAACCAGCTTGCCAATGTGTCATTGCTTTCAAGTCCGTTCAGAGTTCTTCCCTGGGAGTGTTCTGTGTTTGATCCTAATCAATGCTGGAGACTAAAAAGTGAGAGAAGATAAAGCTATCTGCTTTTTAAAATCCCTGTTGAGAGAGAGGATCTGTATGTAGATACATGAGTGACAGCTGCTACCTGACTTCCCCTGATAGGAGGAGAGGATTTGATACCTTTTTTATCCAAAATGTATACAGACAATATTATCAATGATTCTTTTTTAAAATGGTTATTATTTAATTAAACAACATGCCTGAGAAAAACAGAGGCCTTTAAATACACTGTGTCAATTATTTCAATATCTTTCTTGATCATGAAATCTACTTCACATATTTTCAGCAGATTTAGGTATTTTCATGGGTTTCAGGGGATAGGATTTGTTAGATATTTTTCTGAGTGTTTTTTCATCTTAAGTGGGTTTTTTCCTCCTCTGTGTCAAAACAGGTATTGCAGAGCTCTTTATTCAGTAGTACATGAATGTGTACCAGTATAAAAGTAACATGCACATGTTTTATTTGTTAATAAAATATTGTTTGCATTTCCTATTGCCTATATTTTATTTATTCCTTAAGTCTTGGGATCAGGTTGATGACTCTTCCTTTTGAACATACTAATGATTTCAATCCAAAATTCCATTTTATCTAAGTCCCATATTTGGCAGCCAATACTGCGACCATATAAGAAACCCTGCATATTGCTGGATCTTTACATGACCTCTCACACATCCTCTAAACATGTCTGAAATCCTCAGACTATAATACCAAATTCCATCTAAATCAATCCATTATTTGTGCTTTTGTTTTCCCCCTAGGCTTCAAATGCAGGCAATGCAAGTAAAATGTATGCCATTGATCTCTTCAGACTACAGAAGGCCATTTAGAAAATATAAGTACTCTGCACCTCAAGTGCCTAAATCCAGTGGCCTATTTTAAATTAAGAACTGAAGAAAGTCAATCAGGAATTCATAAAGAATTTTGCCATCTCCTAGGCAAACTAAAGTGCTTCAGAACGGGAATCTTATAACAAAAAGGCTACTTGAATTGTTTATATGCCATTAATTTCTGGCAGTTACATTATCAGTAGCAATAGTATCTGATTCTTGCTAGCTCTTTGCTTTAGCTTAGGGCCTTAATTGAATTAAAGGGTATGAACATGGAAGAAGTTTCAAGGCTCCCCTGTGTGTAACTTCATGCTAAAATAGTGAACAATTAAAGGAATAAGGTCTTTTTTTTGGTCCTGTTTCCCAATTCCCAGTTGCATTTATTTGGAAAAGATAAGGCAACTTTGTTATCCTCTGGATGAAAAAAAATAGCAGTTGATTTTGACATACTAGCAAAGCAGGTCATTGCCTAGGGAAAAATGCATGAGGAATTGAATCTTCCATAATTATATTGGGGATTTCTGAGGGAGAGCAAAGGGATTCCTGTGTATCAAGGCAGCAATGCCTTAAATTCAACTCTGCACAGACAAGCAATTAGAATGGCTTGTTCAGGATCACAGATCAATTTCTGTCCCCTGAAATGTATAAGACAGATAAAACAGGGCCTTGTATAAGAGGAGGTGGGATTATAAAAAGGGTGTCTTATGCATTATTACTGTAGTGGTGATAGAATGAAATGCTTGAATGTGAGCTTTTGATGATACTTTATACGAAAATGTAAGTTTGTTTCTTTTTTTTTGGGTGGGTTTTCTTCTGTTTTTGTTTTTGTGTTGTTTTTTTTTTTCTGTTAAAAATACAAGGTGGCACACTTAACAGAGACTTAAAAGCATCTGAAACATTAAAGAGATGACCTCCTAATCATGTTGCCTGCTCCACCCCAATTCAATTTACAGAATTAAAGGAAGCCATCCTTGGAGAAGGGATTACATTTGTTGCCATCCACTCTTACAGACAGTGACCCAGTATATTTAAAGCATGCTCTAAAAAACATTTTGAAAAAAACAGGTCATAAAGTTCACGTTTGTGCTGTCATCAGGCCAACTGTTATGCCTCAGCTGGGAGATACAGAGCTGTGACTTTAATCTGCGCAGGGCAGCCCTAATCATGGATATATTTAGACAGCCACATTATCAGCTGCAAGGGGACCTGACTGATGCTGAGAGCCCAGCGCCTCTGTAGCACCAGTGTCCTGGCAGGTGTAGCTGCCACCAGAAGCAGCAAAACCATTCTGAGGGGTCCGTGTGGGCTCAGCCATGGGGCTCTGGTGAGCCCGGCAGGAATGGCTTTGGCTGGGCTCACACAGGCACAGGGCAGCCCCACGCACACCCAAAAGAGCACCACGCACACAGCGCGCTCCAGACACTGCTGCCAGACAGCCCAGGGGGCAGAACAGAGGGGTCACACACAGCCCACGGCACCAGGCACCAGGCACTGTATCTTGTGGGTTTTGGGCCCTCAGCAGCAGAAATTTTGCTCAGCACATTTTATTCTCCGGGGTCACAGCACACAGACACACTAACACTGTGAGCCATGGGTTGTCAGTCGGGGTGAGGAGATACACAACAGGCTAAAGGAGTGTTAGTTACCTGTCGGAACCCAGGACATCACTCTGGGTGCCCTGGATGGCTTGTGCCCCTGGTAGGGGCTGGGAGATCCTGGCAGGGGACTCGGGAGTTCTAGCAGGCAGCCAAAGGTGACTTTGATCTCAATCCATGGAGCAAATTACCAACCTTGTACGAAGAATTACAAGTAACAGAAGTTTAAGTAGAGTGATAATGAATTAATCACAGGGTAAAAGGTGGAATTTTGAAGATTTTCCTGTAGGGGTCTAGGAGGCAAGATGGAGGGATTTGGGCATTGTCCTGTCCTTCTTCCTTCTTCTTCCTAGCCTCCATCTTCTTGGTGATGGTGGCACATTTAGATTGGCCTAAAGTAGAAGTAGACAGTCTAATGTAGACGATAGGTATTGGAAAATAATGATAAATAAAGTACACGTAACTCGTAGTATAAAATGTAGACACCAGCCCAGGGGCAGGCAGTGTGCCTTTGACAGACCTGCAGATCAGACCTCTGCAGGTCTGAGAGAAAATATTTTAGATAATAGATAACAAACAACCTTGTGAACATGAACCGAAGAATCCTGACTCTCGTCGGCCAGCAGGCTGGGAAAAAGGACTCTCGGGTCATCCCGAAAGTAGCCAACCTGAGAGCTACCCAGTGGTTAAACAGGCATCATACAGGAACAAAACCACTCTCCTGGCCTGTTTTTTTCTCTGTACATGTCTTGGATGATGTTTGCATTGTCTAAACCCTCTGCAGCTCTACCAGAGGGGGTCAGGGCCTTTGGTCCCCCTCTCCCTCATCCCTGGAGGGGAGACAGAACTGGGGACAAGCAGAAGGTGCAGGGGAGCACATGCATGAATCTGAAAGGAGGCTGACTTCTATTTTCTTTTCTTTTTGTAAAGGGCTTTGCTTAGTGGATGTGAAAACAATTACCCATTATTTATGAGCTCTGGGATGTACAAATGACATACTTAAATAAATTTGAAATGGTTCAGTATCTGAATTTATACATTGTCCTTGCTTTCTGTCCTGGCAGGTTAATAATTTTTTTCGTATCAGGGAACACACTTGTGATTCTCTTGAAAGTAGTACCTGTGTATGAAATTAAAAGTAGGAATGTATTTAGTCCTCTTAAAGAGTGGGACTATTTATGTTAATAGAACATCCCAAATTAACAGAAAAAAATCACATTCTGAAAACTGAAAACATTTTCAAACTTCTTTAGCACATAATACTCTGTTTGTATCTAAATTGCAAATGAACTGTTGAAGAAAGTGTTTGTTGAAGTGTATTTTATCAGTGCTGTAATCTATGTGGTTATCTGAACGTTTTTAAAATCTAAAATTTCTTGGATTTTGTAACAAAATAGACCATTAAAAACTTTAACTATTCAGGGACCAATTTTTCAAAGTGGATCTTAGTTCTTTTATTATTAGTAGAGGGGTTCAAATAATTCCAATCAGCATAGGGATGATATTCATTGCTTTTTGTGTTGCTTGATCTCCAAGGTAAAAATAGATCATTCAGGCATTCTAGAAATAAAAATAATTCCATTTTCAATAATGTACATGTCTAAGTACCTTTGAAGTGACCCTTCAGTATTCCAATAAATCTGATAGCCTTTAAACCCATTCATCATGTGCAAAGGGTCATTAATAAATGTTCTCAATACACAGACCTTAGAGCTACCAGTTAAAGGAACACTGAGAAGATACAGTTCCAAACAAGCATCCTCTGGACTCTGTCTCTCCACAACTCCTGATCTCATACTCTGCTATTAGCAAGAAGGAACTCATCTATGTCCCAGAATTCAAATGTTTTGTCAGCTAAAAGTGACGGGAAAAAAAACCCAAACAAAACAAAAACAAGCACAAAAGTCCTTCAATAGGCTAAAAGTAACCAAGTGAAAGAAAGGAATAGTCTCAGTAAATTTTAAAGGCAAGGTTCCTACATCACAGAACAAAGTGAAAAGTCTTTCTACAGAATTTCACGGCAAAGCTCCTCTGACACCAGAAGAACACATGTTGGATTTGGGATGTGTATGCCAGTGAACAGCTGATATTTGTGCACACCAATATAGTGACCTTATGCTTCCAGAAGAGGAAGATGTGGGTAAACAGACTGGTCAGCTTCTTTTCAAGGACTTAGTGTGACTGATACATAATCAATAAAGAAGCTAGTAACCATACCTATAAAAATACTTGTAGAGAACTCACGGCAGTTATAAAACAAAAATATGCCACTACTTTTGCTGCATTTGCTTCAGAAATGTGTGCACATAAAATTCTCCTCCACCCTCCATTAAACAACTGTTTGGTCTCCAATCTTTGGAGTTAATGAGCAACATTACTGCATTTTTATGTGACCATCCATAACTTTATTTACTACAGGTAATCTTTTATTTATCTGTCTTCACAAAGAAGGGTGTTAACCTTCATCAGCAGTAGTAAATCTGCTGTTGCCTTTGTTCTAAAGCCTCCACTGATGAAATTGACATTTCTGGGGTCATAGTAACTGCTTTATGGCTGGAGTGG